CCAGTCTGGACGCTTTCCCTCCCCGCCTTCCAGTCCGGACACTTTCACCCCCATCCAGTCCGGACACTTCACTCCCCCTTCCAGTCCGGACGCTTTCCCCCCCCCTTCCAGTCCGGACGCTTTCCCCCCCTTCCAGTCCGGACACTTTCCCCCCTTCCAGTCCGGACACTTTTCACCCCCTTCCAGTCCGGACACTTTCCCTCCCTTCCAGTCCGGACACTTTCCCCCCTTCCAGTCCGGACACTTTCCCTCCCTTCCAGTCCGGACACTTTTCCCCCCTTCCAGTCCGGACACTTTCCCTCCTTCCTGTCCGGACACATTCCCCCCCTTCCAGTCCGGACACATTCCCCCCCTTCCAGTCCCGGACACTTTCCCCCCTTCCAGTCCGAAACACTTTCACCCCCTTCCAGTCCCGGACACTTTCCCTCCCTTCCAGTCCGGACACTTTATCCCCCCCTTCCCAGTCCGGACACTTTTCCCCCCCTTCCCAGTCCGAAATACACACTCCTTTCCCCCCCTTCCAGTCCCCCCCGGACACTTTCCCCCCCTTTCAGTCCCGTACACTTTCCCCCCCTTCCAGTCCGGACACTTTCACCCCTTTCCAGTCCGGACACTTTCAACCCCTTCCAGTCCGGACTTTACTTTCACCCCCCTTCCAGTCCGGACACTTTCCCCCCCTTCCAGTCTGGCCCTTTTCAGCGCTGTCACACTGTGAATGACAATTGCGCGTCCCCTCATGCAACACTGTGTACCCATATGAATGTTTTAGCATTTTTTTATTACAGATAAAGCTTTATTTTGGTGGTATTTATTCACTGCTGGATTTTTATTTTTGTTCTATATAAATGAAAAAGGCCAAACAATTTTGAAAAAAAAGTGTTTTTTCTTATAAAATTTTGCAAATAAAAAAAATTTTCTTCATAAAATCTTGGCCAAAATTTATTCAGTTATCTTTTTAGTAAAAAAAAAAAATAACCCAAATTAGTTTTTATCCAAAAATTATAATTTTTTCTAAAATTGGTTTTACATTTTCATTTTTTTTTTAATACCATTATTTATATGTTTTTTTTTTTTATCACACGATAATTTTTTTTTTACACTGATTGCTTTTACACCCATAAAGCAGGGAAGCAGGGAGGGACGTTTATAAACAGCCACCCGCCCCTGCACTGCTTCCGTCACCGCTTATATACATGGGTCAGGAAGAATTTGCACCGGAGTGCGTGAAACGGCGAGTTCCCTGCACATTTCCTGCACCACATATGAAACGTGTTGCCCTCACAATCTGCATGTAGGAGCCAATCTAATGTTAATGGCACCCCAAAAGCAAATCTCAAACGCAGTGCATTGGCAGGCACCAAGTCGGCATCTCACCGCCATACCATGCAGGCATTGCGCTGCAATTTCCAGCCCATTCAAATGAAAGGCATAATCACAGGGCACAGGAATGCATGGGTCAAATCTGCATGTTCCTGGGCGATGCCCAACATAAAGCAGACCTTATACCTAGATGAAGGGTCCTACAGTCAGAGGTTCCATAAATATTGGGACATGGACCACAATTCTAAACATTTTTGGCTCTTTACATACACCACCATAATAGATTTGAAATGAAACTAACAAGATGATGCTTTAACTGCAGACTGTCAGCGCTTTCAATTTGAGGGTATTTACATCCAAAATCAGGTGAACAACCGTGTGTAGGGAATTACAACAGTTTTGCATATGTGCCCTCCAACTTGTTAAGGGACTAAAGTAATGGGAACAGAAATAATAATCATAAATTCAAACTACTTCACTTTTTTAATACTTGGTTTCAAATCCTTTGCAGTCCCAATGACAAGCCTGAAGTGTGGAACGCATAGACATCCCCCGACGGCTGGGTTTTCATCCCTGGTGATGCTCTTGCCAGGCCTCACTGTCAACTGTCCCTTCAGTTCCTGCTTGTTCTTGGGCATTTTCCCCTGTCAGTTTTGTCTTCAGCAAGTGAAATGCTCAATCGGATTCAGGTCAGGTGATTGGCCATTGCAGAACATTCCACTTCTTTGGTTGCTTTTGCAGTCTGCTTTGGGTCATTGTCCATCTGCATGTGAAGTCGAGTCCCAATGAGTTTGTGAAGCATTTGGCTGAATATGAGCCGATAATATTCCCGAAACACTTCACCAATTCATCCGGCTGCTTCTGTCAGCAGTCACAATCATCAATAAATTACAAGAGAAGCAGTTCCATTGGCAGCCATACATGCCCACGCCCATGACACTAACTACCACCACCATGATCACTGATGATGGGTGGTATGCTGGAGGACCATGAGCAGGTTCCTTCTCCATCCTCTTCTCTTCCCATCACTCTGGTACAAGTTGATGTCGGGTCTCATCTGACTCCATAGGATGTTGTTCCAGAACTGAGAAGGCTTTTTTACATGTCGTTTGGCAAACTCTAATCTGGCCTTGCTGTGTTTGAGTTTAAAGCACATCTTGTTCGTTTCATTTCAAATCCATTGTGGTGGTGTTAGAGCCAAAAAAATGTTAGAATTGTGTCCATGTCTCAATATTTATGGACTGACTGTATAAAAATTATTTTTAAGTGGGGGACACCACAGAAAAAAAAAGACATGGGATTCCCCTTTAATTCATATGGTATTTTTTCTAAATGTTAAAGAGGTGCAACATGCTAAAAAAAAAAAAAAAAAACACCTTTTGGAATCCGATATGGATTTGAAAGGGGAACCCTAACATGAAAATAGTAAAAAAATTAGCGTGGGGTTCCCTTCTATCCTAACCCATACCAGCCCCTCAACTCGGGGGGGGAGAGGACTAGAGATGAGCGAATTATTCAAAAATTCGATTCGGCTGATTCGCCCGAATTTGCGGAAGAAATTCGATTCGATGCGAATTTATTCGCTGCGAATTTAACTTATTAAAAGGGTGTTTCTAGGCTTCTGAGAGGCCTTTATATATAGTGCAGAACACTGTACCTTTAATTTAAATGCCCTTGGAGTCTGCTGGGGAAGAGAAATAATACTGTCAGTCAGTATGACATGCAGATGAGTGCCGTCGATCTTAGAATCACCGCACACTTCACTCATTTGGGCAGTCACGGGGCACGACGAAGAAGAAGAAGAAGAAGAAGAAGAAGAAGAATGAAAAGAAGAAGAAGAAGAAGAATGAAAAGAAGAATGAGAAGAAGAATGAAAAGAATAATGAAAAGAAGAATGAGAAGAATGAAAGAAGAATGAAAAGAAGAAGAAGAAAAATGAAAAGAAGAATGAGAAGAAGAATGAAAAGAAGAATGAAAAGAAAGAATGAGAAGAATGAAAAGAAGAAGAATGAAAAGAAGAAGAAGAAGAAGAATGAGAAAAGAAGAAGAAGAAGAATGAAAAGAAGAAGAAGAAGAATGAAAAGAAGAATGAAAAGAAGAAGAAGAAGAAGAATGAAAAGAAGAAGAAGAAGAATGAAAAGAAGAATGAGAAGCAGAATGAAAAGAAGAATGAAAAGAAGAATGAGAAGAATGAAAAGAAGAATGAAAAGAAGAAGAAGAAGAATGAAAAGAAGAAGAATGAAAAGAAGAATGAAAAAAGAAGAAGAAGAAGAATGAAAAGAAGAAGAAGAAGAATGAAAAGAAGAAGAAGAAGAATGAAAAGAAGAATGAGAAGAAGAATGAAAAGAAGAATGAGAAGAATGAAAAGAAAGAAAGAAGAAGAATGAAAAGAAGAAGAAGAAGAATGAAAAGAAGAATGAAAAAGAAGAAGAAGAATGAAAAGAAGAAGAAGAAGAATGAAAAGAAGAAGAAGAATGAAAAGAAGAATTCCAGTACAGCAAAAAGTGTATCTGCAGAGAGCTCCGCTATTTCTGACAGTTCTCTGACAGTTCCTTCACATTTACAGCGGTTTTTAAAACATTGTATCTATTTGTTTCCGAATAAAAACATCTGTATCCTAAATGGAAACAAATAGATACAATGTTTCAACCGCTGTAAATGTGAAGGAAAACTGTCAGAGAACTGTCAGAAATAGCGGAGCTCTCTGCAGGGACACTTTTTGCCGGCTGTAGAAGGGATGAAAATCGGCCGATCGGGAAAAATTCGATTAGTGCATCCGAAGTTTGCTAATATTCGGATTCGGTGCGAATCAAATTTTTCCTAATATTCGAAACGAATTCCACTTCGCCAAGTTCGATTCGCTCATCTCTAGAGAGGACCTTTTAGGGAGGAACCATGTTTATGAGGACAGGGGTCTCCTCCCACAACCCTGGCTCAGGGGTTGTAGGGGTCTACAAGCCGGGGACTTATAGGAATCTGGCATCCTCCATATACCCCCCCCTCCCCCCATATGTGAATGAGTAAAGGGTGCAAAGAAAAATGTACGTTTAAAAAAAAAAAGCCAGTATTTTTTTGACAAGTACTTTGATTTAAAAAAAATTCCCAAAAATTCCCATTCATCCTTCCTCAACCATGTTGTCCAGAGATGTAGATCCGTGTCAGTCACAATCACCACCCACCGACCTGGGAATCCTTGGAAAAAATGGCCTGGAGATTCCCTGCTAATTCATAGCAAACCCTGAGTGACATCACCCAGGAGACCCCGCCCACTTGAATAGATAAACTGTGAAGCAATATGAAGTAAAGGTCTTTCAGCAGAGTTAATGGACCTGCTGAAAGTAATGGGACTTTTTAGCAGGTCCCATCACTCCGCTGAAAGACCATTGCTTCACAGTTGATCTATTCAAGTGGGCGGGGTCTCCTGGGTGATGTCACTCAGGGTTTGCTATGAATTAGCAGGGAATCTCCAGGCCATTTTTTTCTAAGCATTCCCAGTCATGTAAGTGAATGGAGCCGGTGACATCACTGTTTTTTTCTATAGACTCGGCAGTGCCTATGACTTTCAGGCCTGGAGAAGCAAGAGGAAATGAGAGGAAATCTTTAAAGTGAATGGGAATCCCATCTCGTGTTGGCCATACACGTATTGGTTTTAGAACCAACATTTGTACGAATATTCGCATGAATCTTCATATGAAAAGTCTCATCAGTACAATTATTGATACACTTGTCAAAAGTATTGGGCCCGCCCGCCAAATCATGTGATTCAGGTGCTCCAATCCCCTCCCTATCATGTGATTCAGGTGTTCCAATCCCCCCCATGGACACAGGTGTATTACAATCAAGCCCCTAGGCATGCAGGACGGCTTCTACAAACATTGGTGAAAGAATGGGTCGCTCTCAGGAGCTCAGTGACTCCAAGCGTGGTCCCGTGATAGGTGGCCACCTGGGCAATAAGTCCATCCGTGACATTTTCCTGGCTACTAAATATTCCACACGCTCAACTGTTAGTGGGATTATAACAAAGTGGAAGCAACTGGGAACAACAGCCCACTCAGCCACCAAGTGGTAGGCCACGTCACATGACAGGGTGGTTGGGGTCAGCGCATGCTTCTCGTTCGACAGCAGCGCCTGACCCCACAAATGTGCTTCTGGAACAGGGGCAGACTGACAACTCATAGGGGCCCCCGGGC